AGTGTAATAGTCCTGCTGGTGACCAGTCTCAAGTAATAAATGCTATTAAAGTGGGTGCTCATTAGGGCACTGCAAAGGGTGTCCACTTGCTCCTAACGGTGCAAGTGAGCAATAACCAAAATAAAGCAATAGAACAGAAGAGGTGACATCGAATCGAACCGGGCCATATGGCGCCCCTGTCGACACCTCAGTGTTGGCACGCCGTAATTGCCTCTCAGGTAAAGCGTAACAGCAATGGTAGTAACGGGAGTAGCAGCAGTGCTCGGTCAGCAGCGGTATCGAGTAGCCATCGAGTACAGTTAGCAGTTAATCTAATAATAGAGCTAATTTAATTTCGAAGCACGAGCACGTTTGCACTGTGAGCGCCCAGTGAGCTAGTGAATGTGCTGTGCTTTGCACTCCACTGTGCCATTGTGTGACCAATGGCCGTTTCTTCTTATCACATAGTGTGCTACTGTGTGAGTGTGCATGTGAGTTGCTTCCTCACGGGCTAATCGTAATGACTCTGCCACCCAGTGACCGACTGTCTCACCAGTGACTGCCTTCCCAGCTTCACTCTTCTGCCTGGCCCCATTTCACAGGGACTAACCTCAATGCACACACAATGCCCCTTAAGGTTATCTGAAACCATCTGACTGACAATTGGTGCATCCAATTGACGACACTGCTCAGCAGCTGTTCACTGTTCACCTTCACTTTCCTTGGTGACACTGAGTTGCTGATGAAGTGTTGCAGTTGGCCTTTGTTGGCCGCCAGCTCTACTGGTCAAAAGTATCTTTTTGACTTGTCATCACTTGGACTGCTCATTAAAATCCGATGCACTCTTTGGAGTGCCAATTAGCTCTGGTAATTGTCTCTAAAGCGCCTTCTCTCCTGCTTCAAGCGCCAGGGGATTTTTCAAATGATCAGCGACTGTGCCTCCATCTTTACACTTGCAGTCAAGCTGCCTGGAAATGCACACAAAAAAAGTTATTATCATCAATTACTAATTTCCATAGTCACTGCCATTGACACGGGTGGCAGTGAAATATTTAGGGGAAAACATTAAACTCAAAAGAGCACCAATCTCTGCAGTTGGAAGGTAGACACGTCATCACAAATATTGATGGTTGCCGAAAAGTCACTGGAAAAAATATACATTGATCACTGTTTTTCGAATATCAAATGTCTTGCTGCTCCATTTGCCCTAAACGGGTTTCAATTGGGCATCATACCACAATTAGTTCAGCCCACTGAATGTGCTGCACTACTGAACGCCCACGTGTACCGCTGCTGTGAAACAGGTGAAAGTGCCACAAGCGTGTTCACTGTTGCGGCAGTGGCAGTGCATCAGGTGCCAGCTGGTGCCTGCTGGTGAGGCCATCGCCAGCCTCAACCACTGTCAGTCATCGAAGCGCACAGGCATCGCACTGATTGGCGCTTGCATCGTCACATCTCCGTGGCTGGCCAAACCACGTCACACTGCCACTGGCAGCAGCATTAGGTGTCTTTGAGGGGAGACTCCACGAGACGGCGCTTCCACTCGCCTCCTTACACCGACGTGTACTTCTCAGCCGGTCTGCTGCCATCGTCGCGGCTTATTCAGTCTTTGTCTACTCTCCCTCTCTCATCGGCGGTTCTTCGCCTCTCCTCTCCAATCTGGTCCTCGTACTTGGTCGCGTGTCATCGCACCCTCTCGTTCTGGTAGGTCTCTTCACGCCGCTCTTGTCCACCAGCTGAGCCGCACCGGTCGCTGTGCCCGGATCAGTTGAGCACTGTCGCCTAATTAGCACTCGTTTTTGACACTTTGCAGATATCTTCCATTTCCCTTCTTTCTCCATGATGCGGGCGTTTCTCGTGCTTGCCTTCTGTGCCATCATCGGCCAAGCTTTCTCCTCTGATGTGATCGACCTGTCAAATGAAGACTTTACGTCGGCCATCGCTCAACACGATACCATTCTGGTGGAGTTTTGTATGTTGACGTTTCGTCTGCTTTTTGAGGGATGACTACCATTCAATAACACTGTGTTTTCAATTTTTTAGTTGCTCCCTGGTGCGGGCACTGTAAGCGACTGGCGCCAGAGTATGAAACGGCAGCCACGAAGCTAAAACAGGGCGATCCAGCTATTCCCCTTGCCAAGGTATGTTATCATCGGCGTCTGCTGCGCACTTAGCATTGAAAGAGGATTAGGAGGGGGTAGTAGGCTTCACTGCGACCACTGCCAGCTTGGCCACTGCTTCAGTGCTTCTTCAGCAGTACAACTTTCAGTAGCACATCAGAATAGTGACACGTGGTTATCAAAACCATGCAATAACCACCCAATATTTTTGACATTTTTATGACACCCACTTATCTCCTTCTACTTCTTCTTAGGTGGACTGTACCAGTGACATCGGAAAGGAGACCTGCAACAGCGTCGGCGTCAATGGTTACCCAACGCTTAAGATCTTCAAGAATGGTGAATTCTCCGCCGACTACAACGGTCCCCGTCAGGCCGACGGAATCGTCAAGTACATGAAGTCCAAGGTCGGCCCAGCCTCAAGGCTGTTCAGCGAAAAGTCGCAGCTGGCCAGCGCCATTGAAAAGCTTTCGGACGTGATTGTGCTGGGCATCTTCGAGAAGGACGGCGCTTCTGACCTGCAGTCGACCTTCCTAAAGGCGGCCGATAAGCTGCGCGAGAGCGTATCTTTTGGTCACGTCTTTGTCAAGGATGTCTCTGATGTCTACGAGATTGCCCGTCTGGCTGGCCTCGATGAGCAGGTTCGCGTCAACTCGAACAACGTCCTGGTGGTGCGCCCGAAGTCTTCGATCAACAAATTCGAGCCCAGCATCGCTGCCTACTCAGGCAATGGCGATCTCACCGAGTTTGTCAAGTCGAACTTCCACGGTCTGGTTGGTGTTCGCACTCAGGACAACAACGCCGACTTCCGCGCTCCCCTGGTGACCGTCTACTACGACGTGGACTACGTGAAGAACCCCAAGGGAACCAACTACTGGCGCAACCGCGTGCTCAAGGTGGCCCAGAACCACAAGGACGTTACCTTTGCCGTCTCCAACGCCAATCAGTTTTCCGGCGAGCTGGAGGAGTTTGGTCTGGAGGCTCCTCGTGATCGTGACGCCAGCCCGGTGGTTGGTGCCCGAGATGAGGCCGGTCAGAAGTACAAGCTGGAGGGTAAATTCAGCATTGAAAGTCTGGAGCAGTTTGTCAAGGACCTGAAAGACGGCAAGCTGGAGGCTTTCCTCAAGTCCGAGCCGGAGCCTGACAACGAGAACGCCGATGTTAAGGTGGCGGTTGCCAAGAACATCCAAGATCTGGTCATCAACGCCGACAAGGACACCCTGATCGAGTTTTGTAAGTGAAAACGTGCTTTTTGTGTGAATTGTAGCAAATGACTAACTTACTTTTTTTGCGTAGACGCTCCCTGGTGCGGTCACTGCAAGAACCTGGCTCCGACTTACGAAGAGCTGGGCAAGGCCCTGAAGAACGAGCCCGGTGTTCAGGTTGTGAAGATGGACGCCACTGCCAATGATGTGCCACCGCAGTTTGTCGTTCACGGCTTCCCCACCATCTACTGGTACCCGAAGGACAAGGTGGCCAAGAAGTACGAGGGCGGCCGCGACCTGAACAACTTTATTGAGTACATTGCCAAGCACGCCACCGATGAGCTGGCTGGCTACGACCGAGACGGCAAGGCCAAGAGCGGAAAGGAGGAACTGTAAATTGTACAATATTTGAAAATGCAGTAGCAATAGAGCAAATCCAACCTTCCAGCGCGCACCAACACCCATCTCACTTCATTTTGGTGTCATCTCCTCCTTTTTAATATTTTCAGTACAATAAACTTTCTATTTTTTAACTAGTGCCTCACCTTTTCCCCACACTAACCTTTATGTTATCGCCTGATCTGTATTGGTTATCTCCTTTGGAAATAAAGATTGGTTTTGTACAGCTCGACATTTTTTTTTGCAAAAAACTTGTAACAAAGTTTATGAATTGCTCTTGCACGTGCGTTTTGTTTTGGTTTGATTTTCAAGCGTGCTTTTGGTGATATTTTTTTGTTGGATCGCCTAATCGGAAATGATTCCAAAGCCTAGCTTTTTACAAGCTGTTACCCAGCCCAGCAGCGGACAACTTAATCATCAACATAATGGCGACAACATGAAGCATTACCAAAAGAGGTTTACCGGACAAAACAACTTTGGTTCATCACGCGGCAGAGGTGCTCGATTCAATCGTCATCACGATCGAAACAACACAAACAACGGCGAAGTCAGGGTAATTTGCTTTTAGTCTGCTTTATGTATGGAAATTAATTGTTTCGTTTTCAGTGCAATTTCAAAGGATGCCGATTTTCTGGACCACCNAAGAGGGGCTCGATTCAATCGTCATCACGATCGAAACAACACAAACAACGGCGAAGTCAGGGTAATCTGTTTTTAGTCTGCTTTATGTATGGAAATTAATTGTTTCGTTTTCAGTGCTATTTCAAAGGATGCCGATTTTCTGGACCACCTGACGTAGTCAAGTTCCACAGCGACGTTCAACACATTGAGCTTCGTAACAAGTACAGCGTTGATTTTTCTCTTAGCACTCCTGAAGACATTGCCAAATGGAGGTCAGANCAGAGGTGCTCGATTCAATCGTCATCACGATCGAAACAACACAAACAACGGCGAAGTCAGGGTAATTTGCTTTTAGTCTGCTTTATGTATGGAAATTAATTGTTTCGTTTTCAGTGCAATTTCAAAGGATGCCGATTTTCTGGACCACCTGACGTAGTCAAGTTCCACAGCGACGTTCAACACATTGAGCTTCGTAACAAGTACAGCGTTGATTTTTCTCTTAGCACTCCTGAAGACATTGCCAAATGGAGGTCAGAAAGAAGAGCTCGATATCCCACATTTGAAAATGTGGTGAAAAAGAGTTCTGAGCAACTAAATAATGAGGCGGATAACCGAAAAGCAACCCACTTCAATCAGTCAAATAATAGCGACAATTATTCTTCACAAAATCGGCAAAATTGGAAAAATTCTGAAAATAATCGTAGCCGGTACAATAACAAACGCAAATTCAATTCAAACAACGCACTTCATCAAAACTTTACTGATCATCACTACAATGTCAAACGCAATAGGACAGAGGACGTTTCTGCAACCAGTGATCCAATTCCTCAAATGGGAGCCAGCGAAGTGAAGTCAGTCGTCAAAGAGGAAGTAAAAGTTGAACCATCTGTCTGCAGTAATTCTCTCAACTTGTTGACTTATTACGAAAGTGACGAAGAAGCAGAAGTCTCCCCTCCAGATGAACAGAAAAGCACTGAAAATGTTGAAGAGGCAATTAAGGAGGTGGTTAGTGAATTACTTTGCAAAGTAGAAAAAACTGTGTTCAACAGCAGTAAGCAGAAAACTTCAAAGCGACAAAAGAAAAAGGCAAAGAAACAACCACCGAGTGGGCCTCAATTGAATTTTTCCCGGCTATCTCTTTTTCAAAAGGTAAGTGTTTTAATGTCCTGATTAACATGATTCCTAAACGCTTACTTTTCTTGACAGTTGATGCTACAAGATGTACGCAAAGTGAAAACGGACTTTGTCGAGTGTCTTCAGCTGATTGTGAACAACAACTTTCTGCAGAACAAATAGCCATCTCACTTGTGATGTGAGGTCACCTTTTCGAATTTTTGATTGTGTATAAAATAAAGCACTTATTGATTTAGCCATTGTCAACGCTATGTCTCTTTCGGGCCACCACCAAGATGTCTCTCTGTCCACCACCACCAGTACCTCGAATGCGCCTGATGGCCCGCTGTGCGTCCGGTGCAAGGACAAGTCTCGGGAAGGGCAGAAAGTGAGCAAGTACTGTGAGTGCTTCTACCACCTGGACTGCCTCCGTCAGCTGGTGAGCAGCCAGCAGCAGACCACCTGTCCGGTGTGCAGTAAGCCCTTCAGCAACTGCTGCATCAGCAAGCACCGGAAGTCCTTTGGTCGCTTCCTCTGCACCTCCGAGGTGTGCACCATGCTGGTGGTGGCCCTGCTGCTCTACTTCTACCTCATCTACTTCCTCCTGATTGTCTTCACGCAGTACGGCATTCTCCACGCAGACCACCAGTACCCGCTGGCGGTGGAGCTGTGGCTGATCGTTCCCGGGTTCATCTTCGCAGCCTTCAGTGCCATTGTCGGCCTCATGGGAGTCTTTCATCTCAAGCACCGGTACAAGCTGTGGACTACGCAAAACTTTACTCTCCGTGTTTCTGACTCCAAGTCTTGACTGAAATAAAAATGTAATCTCAAGTCGTTCTTTTTAATTTGAAACTTGAATACGGTAAAAAGACACACGGTCAGGTTTATTAGCGCTCAAGTAGTTACAAAGTTATTTAGCAACAAAGACTAGCTGANCATAAAGTAAAAAGACACATGGTCAGGTTTATTAGCGCTCAAGTAGTTACAAAGTTATTTAGCAACAAAGACTAGCTGAAAGGAGGACATACCTGCAAGAGAATAAAAGAATTTGTTAGAACAGAGCTGCACAGGTACATGTTTCAAGCTAAATGCAGAGTTAGCACTCAGACTGGGGCGGTATAGATAGATTTCATGAGGATTCAATCAGAAAACCAATCATCATTCTGCAAAGAGCTAAAGCACAAGCTAAAACAGTTCAACTACTAACCTAAGATGCGGCGAATCAGATGTTCCTGGTTGTAATTCCTAGATAGTTACCTGCAAATGTACAAGTCAAAGTTAGTGAAATGAAGAAGGAAAGAGTTTCTATGCAAAGCGACTTGAAGTGAGCTTCAGACTGGGGCGGTAAAGTAAGATTTCATCGTGATTCAATCAAGTTTACCAATCATCAGTGCATTGCTCAGTTCAGTTGGACGTGCTGCAAACGCAACTTACCTGTATCATTGTCTGACGATGATTGTGAAGATAAAACTGCAAAAATCAAAAAAAGAAATTGATTAGATAAATTCAGAAAAGGGTGTAAGCATTAATTACGGCACGATTTGACGATTGAGGCTCGACAAACCGCTTCCTAAATGCTTCAGTTTGCTCTAGGTCCGAATCATAAGATAATTTGGCACAATAATTGTCATCGAAACCGACAAAAATTGCGTGGCGATTGACCGGTAAAACTAAACAAAATGCAAATGTTGCTTACCTTTTCAGTCCGGCTACATCTTGAAGAATGGCGGCCAGGAACCAGAACCTGCAATAAACAGAACAAATCATTATTGACATGATCATCAAAGAAAGATTCATAGAAGAAAACGTGTAAGCATTAATTACGGCACGATTAGACGATTAGTGCTCGTCTAATCGCTTCCTAAACGCTTCAGTTTACTCTAGGTC